ACATACTTGGCAATAAAGCTCTTTCTGATTCTGATTCTAAAGCTCCAGTCTCCATTCAGTGGAATTCCATGGAATTAAAGTCCCCATGAAATCAAAATTAAAGTTTTGGGTGTTAGTATCAATATGTTAGTCTTAAGGTTATCTATAAGGCAGTGTTTTTAAAAAGGGGTGGGGCTGCTTGATATGTCCCGCCCTGTCTTCCTATTTCAGTTAAAATGACGTCAACACATAGAGTAACGCTGTGTGTTTCTAAGCATTTCAGGGGACCTTTAAGTGACACGAATGTATGCGAACTTGCTCTTTAAATTACTGAGTTTATGAGTTTTAGAAGTACAGTTAGAATTAACATTAGTGCACAGATTTAAATGGAATTATTCAGCACTAAAACAGAACTGCATCATGTTTGATGTTTGACAGAAATGTGGTTCAGAGTGCCGTTTTCTCATGCTGTTAAGCCATGTTCAATTAAAATAACCTGCCAATCACAACTCTCTCTAGAGCAATAGACCAGTTTGTCGAGTTTCAAAAGATAGTCGGGGTTCAAACAGGGGACAGTGAGCACATCCCAAACACGCAATATGAAAACAAAATTGTAGCTATATTTAACAATACTAATGTTATATTTGTGTATTTTATTTTATTTTTATATAATTTATAATTCATACCCAAGACCTTTGTCCCGTTTACCCCATGGCGTGGCTTCACTCTCAACCTCCCCACTGTGCTAAAGCCTGAGTGTGTGAATGTATCTTAGCTCTCCAGGATCTCTAAGTAGAGAAGGGGCTTACCTGTCTCTATTAATACATCAGCTGATCATCTGATTATCTGATGGGTTTTCAGAAAAAGGTATTTCAGAGGGCACAGGTACACATAGGGTGCCAAGTAAAGCACAGAAAAAAAATAAAAAAAAATAAAAATAGGTGCATATATTAGTTCAGATACGATTTAAAAGTTAATGCCTAAGAGTATGAGACTGCACTACAATATGTGAGTGTATTAAATTGCCCTCTAGTGGTGTAATCATATAATGCATCACTGAAAGTTAATAAATTGTGCATGATAGTTCCAGTCAAAGATGCCTTTTGTTTAATACTATCTTACAAACATGATAACATACCAAGTATAGTGCAATGGCTGTGACATAAAACAACTGTTGTCCATATCAATACTCAGTGCCTGTGGACAAAAAATATTTACTGTAGATCGCACAGATGGCACATTCTAAATTTGCTTGATACAACATCCTTCTAGTCAACATTTTTTGTCTGATAAAACGAAACTAATTAATTAACAGACTTGATATTTAGTATATATTATATCTGATAGTATTTAGTATATCTGATGTGTTTTTTCTTCCTGTTTCTCTCCCTGCCAGAAGATGACGTGGATCTGGAAGCTCTGGTGAATGACATGAACTCATCCTTTGAGAGTCTGTACACTTCTTGCAGTGTGCAGACAGAATCCACTCCACTGCTGCACAACGGCCAGCCGCACCGCTCCGCCACCTATCAAACACAGGCTCAGCTCACCTCCCCACACCAGAGACTGCACCGGTCCCAGCCCATGCACATCCTCGCTGTCAGGTGAAAACCCTGCACATATATACCCACACACACACACACACACACACACACTGTGGTCCCAAAAAGTATTTGGACTCTAAAGCCACACGCATGAGTGTCATTGTATTAGACAACTAAACATCAAAGTGGTGTTTATTTTAAAGAAAGATAGCACCCTTTCAAAGCAAGATGTTTAACATTAGCTCTTTCCCCGCCATTGACAAAATTTCCCATCATTTATCTGACAACGCTTCCCCGCCATCTGACAGAACTTTCCATCTTTCTGTTTTGTCACTGTTATATGGTAGGAGGCTCTATTACACATCTTCTGAATGAGTACTAAATCTCTGGATCAAACACAGGTAAAGAAGAAGCAGCACCAAGCAATCGGGTATTTAAGCAGATGCATATGTAAAATAGAGCAGAGGCCCTGTTCTTTTAGCATATCTTTTAATATATCGCATGTTCTCATATTCATACAACAAAATTCTGGGGACCATGAAAATGTTGTGAAAATTATTTAAGGGGTCATGAACTGAGAAACCAAAATTCCCTTGATCTTTTGACATATAAGAAGTTAAAGTACTATACAAACATCCTGTAAGTTTCAGAACATTCTTGTAAGTCTAAAAACAGCTAATATTGAAAGCAGTCTGTCTAAACAACAGCTTGTGGAATGTTCTACTCTGCGATGTAATAGTGTGGACCTTCACAGAGGAAGATCATCATCACCTGCTTCTACATCACTGCCTTTTTAGCCCCACCCACCCGTTCTCGCATGTAGTGTTTACATGGGAGCCGAACACGCAGGTTTACGCAGAAACGTCTCGGGTTACGCAAGTAACTAGGGTTCGGAATCGAAAATCGATTCCGATTCCAGAATCGGATACTTAAGGTCAGGAATCGGATACTTGTTGTCAAATTAAAATTTCGATTCCGCCTATCGATTCCTATGCATTTTTTTTTTCTTCATCTGTGAGGACCGGACCTAGCGATCTGCCAGAACCTTGCTCGCTAATCTAAGCTCTCCAAAGTTTGGTTACATTTGCGATCAGAAGCCAAAAAATCTAAGTATAATCTCTGTGATAGCTAAACATGTTGCAAGAGAGGTGTCACCACCAACATGACAAAGCACTTTAATTTAATAGATCGTTAAAGATCGCGAACGCGATTCAAACACCAACGTGATTCTATTCCTAAATTACAATGATTTGTCTGTTTCATTCCTCAACCTTTGACGTGTGCGATCAATGTTGTGATCACTTGTTTGTTCATCCGTGCAACGTATGATCACACCAGTGTGATTTGAACATTTAAATCTGCTCGGATACTTGTCAAATTAAAATTTCGCCTATCAATTATATTTAATAGATCGTTAAAGATAATTAACACAATTCAAACACCAATGTGATTCTATTCCTAAATTACAATGATTCGTCTGTTTCATTCCTCCATCTTTGACGTGTGCGATCAATGTTGTAATCACATGGTTCGTCCGTGCAGAGTACGATCACACCAGTGTGATTTGAACATTTAAATCAGCATTCGCGCTACCATTGACCTAAAGAGAGCAGCTGCCTGTCATGAATGAAACAGCTTCACAGTCTTTTCAGCCACACAGTATCATTATTTCTGTTACAAACATTCAAATCACAGAAGTACTGAGATAAAAGTTTATAGTTCAGATATAAACTGTGTACGATGTGTATGGTAGCGATTAAAATAGAGTAAATCACCTTTTGAAAGTAATTTGACACTTCAAATGAAGATTTATCGATTACATTGTTATGCCAGTAGGTGGCGAAAAGGGGCTGTTAAAATGTATTTGTCTTTGAATCATACAAGAGATTCATTCAAGAACGCTGATTCATCCAGTAATGAAACAAGTACATCTTGAGTGAGTCATTCAATCATTCATTCATAAATTACATGTTTAGTTGTCTAATGTTTTGTTTTCTTCAGAATCATGAGAGAACCACAACTTCCATTGGGGGAAAAAAAAAAAAAAAAAACCCTCAATTTATCCAGGAATCATGCAGTTCTGTTTTGCACACAAACAGCTCTTAACCCTTTATAGGGCACTCATTGAAATACTTGGAAATTCTAAATTTCAACCCTGCAGTGTTATTGGAGGCTATTACAAGGCTTTTGAACTTTTGTGACTTAAAAAAAAAAAATCCTTTTTAATGTTGCAAGTCAAGATCAATGAAGTTACCATATATGGTTCCTTGCCAGTCTATGGTCATTCCCCCCCACCCCCCCCACCCCCCAAAAAGTGTATATATTTAAAATATAAGACACATATATAAAACATAAATAAACACATAAAATATACATACACTTCATAGAATATTTATTTAGGAATTTTTTTCTTTTATTTAGGAACATTTCTTCTTTTTCATGTGTCAAAGTCACTTAGGCAATTACTTCTTTGACGAACTAGGTTAATTTGTTTTTTCAAAAAGTGGATATATACAAAAATATAAGACATACATAAAATAATAAAAAGTATTTATTAAAACATTTATAAACTTAATAGTATATTTATTTAGGAAATGTTATCTTTTATTTAGGAACATTTTTTTCTTTTTCACGTGTCACAATTCGAGTCCAGTCACTTAGGCAACTGCTTCATGGTACTCAATAAAGCAGTTGCGTTCATCATTGAGGCAAGGAGGACCTTCCAGACCCTGTAGACCATGTTTGACCTCAGTATTTTCCGCTTCCTGCTGCAGTACTTGCAGGTCTAGCTGTTGGTGTAGACAGCTGCAAAAGAAAAGTACGTTTTTGAGTCAATATCAAGCACACTTTGAATTACTTGTGAATAAAAAAACAGTAACAGTAAAGTGCAGATCTGAAAACAAAGAATATTGACATATAAAATGTAAATATATAATGAGAAGTGAAAAATAGCACTAAGTACTGGTGGTACCACTTATTTTAGCGTATTTAAACACCAATATATGCTATAATAATATAAACTGGGTTAGTAAAAATTATAATAATAACAAAATACTGTTATAAGTTAAACATATTTCACTATTTATGGCTTGCTAATTTCAATAAATGGCTCAAGTTTCCCACTGGATCACTAACCTGTGGCAACATTCAATGCACTATTGAGTACTACTGTCCTACATTATAATGCATTAAGTGAAAAATAGCACTATAAGTACTGGTGATACCACTTATTTTAGCAGTAATAAGTCTCACAGTAAAATAAACACCAATATATGCCATTTAAGTACAATAAAACTATTATAAGGTCATAAAACTGACCAAAATTACACATATTTCACTATTTATGGCTTGATAATTTCAATAAATGGCTTAAGTTTTTAACTGGATCACTGTATAATGTTATGTCAACCTGTGAAAACATTCAATGCACTATTAAATACTATTGTCCTACGTTATAATGCATTATTTGTAAAAAATGACCTAAGCATGGCTCACTAGACGCATTGGGCATATGTCTAAAAATGGTCACTCTGTTGCTTGCGTTAGTTTTACCTGAACAGGGCGTATGATCAAATATGATCACACCATCTTTCATGTCCAACATTCACTAATTTCTAGAAATCCTACGCAAACAACAGCTATCTCAACATTTAACACAACTATTCAACCATATAATGTGTGAGTTTCATTAACTTACCATTGTTTGTTTTGATGCTATTTCCGTATTTGTGGGAGTAGGTAGGAGTGTAAATCCAAACTTTACCAGACCCGGAAGGACGCTGAAGTTTGAAATGCCCCGGGCAACTCCTGATTGGTCAGATGCCATGGTGTCACTATCTGTGACGTAGACTGATATCTGTTGATTGGCTGGGAGAAATCCATGTGCTTAAACGAGCTCATGGAGAGGCATGTAAACGCTATTGTGAATGGTCGATTAAGTTACCAAATATGGTTCTTCGCCCGATAGAGATTTTATGTAGCCTGTTGATTTTTGTTCATGGTATTCAGCTCCAATAAATGGTTTGCAAAAAAGAGACACAGGGTAAATGTTTGATATCATTATTTAATCACATTGGAATCGAAAAGAATCGGAATCGATAAGAGGAATTGGAATCGGAATTGATCAAATCCAAACGATACCCAATCCTACATGTAACCATAGTTCCCCGAGAGGGAACGAGATGCTGCGCCCCCTAGGGGGCACATTGGGGAATGCAGCCTGCATGACCGGTGTATGAAGCACGTGTGAAACAACGGCAATCTATTGGTCCACCTGGCCCATGACGTCATATGCGGGGTGTCCGGCAGTATACAAGGGCACCTGCTGAATACGTCATCCACTTAGCTGTCTGAAGGAGATGTAAACAGGCAGGCCGAAGGTATGGCAAGGGGGCGCAGCGTCTCGTTCCCTCTCTGGGAACCATGGTTACATGCGTAACTGGAGATGTTCCCCTTTTAGGGAACTCCACGCTGCGCCCCCTAGGGGGCACATTGGAGAACGAAATCCAACTAAGCCGTGCTGAGGCGCATGCCTGTCCGTCTGGTGGGAGAGCACCAAGGAAGCGACAAACATACACCAAGCCTTTCCTCAGAAAGGGGCCATGCCACTGACGCCACAGGCCACTCACTCAACTTGGCAGAAATGGGGGAACCCGACTGATCAAAGGGAACATCCCATCCAAGTAGGAACACAGCTATCCTCAGATAACTGTGCTATGTGAGCAATATTAGCCTGGATACACAAGACCACTGAAGAGGCTAAATAGAAAGCCTCTAGAGGAACTCAAAAACCGCTACTTAAATCCCGGAGGAGAAATAGCTGCTGAGCTAGAAAATAGCTATCCTCAGATAGCTATATACTGAGGGTCTTATGAAGGCTTGTAGACCAGAAAAACAATATACAGCTAGCCTAGATAGCCAGGCGAGACCTTCCTGCAAAACTGCCCAGACCACAGAAAGTGGGATAATACTTACAACCCTAGCAGGGGAGAAGCATTGTCTAGGCAAGGGCTTAGGAGACCGCTACTTAAAAACCCTAAGAAGGGGAGCAATCACAGAGCTAGCGCATAGAAATCCTCAGATAGCTATGTATTCAGGAAGGGGCTACCAGAAGCGGGACTGACCGAACTACCCAGACCACAGAATAGAAAGCCTCTAGAGGAACTCAAAAACCGCTACTTAAATCCCGGAGGAGAAATAGCTGCTGAGCTAGAAAATAGCTATCCTCAGATAGCTATATACTGAGGGTCTTATGAAGGCTTGTAGACCAGAAAAACAATATACAGCTAGCCTAGATAGCCAGGCGAGACCTTCCTGCAAAACTGCCCAGACCACAGAAAGTGGGATAATACTTACAACCCTAGCAGGGGAGAAGCATTGTCTAGGCAAGGGCTTAGGAGACCGCTACTTAAAAACCCTAAGAAGGGGAGCAATCACAGAGCTAGCGCATAGAAATCCTCAGATAGCTATGTATTCAGGAAGGGGCTACCAGAAGCGGGACTGACCGAACTACCCAGACCACAGAGAGTGGGCTATCTAATTAAACACATAGAGGAGACAGCACTGTCTAGGTAAGGGCTCAAGAGACCGCTACGTAAACTCTAAGCAGGGGCCGAGCTAGAAGACAGCTATCCTCAGATAGCTGTCACATTGTTATGGGTGGCGACAGCACTGCTACCAAACAGCTATCCTCAGATAGCTATGGTCTGGAAAGAGTTAATTGCAGGTAAAAACACAGCCACAGGCTGTATTTTATATAAACCAGTCCTGCCACAACAGGGCTGGAATATAACCATCCTCAGATGGCTATAACACACGGGTCCCCAAACCGAGTCAGTCCCATAGGCTAGCGAACCATTGTGTTATTGACCGAAAACACAAGAGGGAGACTCAGACCATCAGTAAATGATTCACACAGAGTGAACACATAAAACACCATTAGTCCAGAATCAGAGCCTGATGTAAGCAGCGGCCAGCAACACATGGTCTTGGGGGGGGGGGGTATTGGGAGG